ATCATCTGGCACTCCTCCATCTGGGGCTAAGGTGACACGCAGGCACATTTGGTAAACCGAGTGAAATCTGATTAAGGTTCTCATTTCCAGAAGAAGTCGAAAAGAAAAGATAAAATGTAGTTGTGTCGACCAGATTCTGCTTCTACAAACCTGCTTAAGATCATATTCTTAGTGCCTGTATTTTTATTTGGTTACACACCATGACTGTATTGGTTATCAGTTTAAGTGTTTCTATGTCTTTGCCCTCAGGTTTCAGGAACCTGCACTTGGATGACCAGATGACTCTGCTCCAGTGCTCCTGGCTCTTTCTCATGTCTTTCGGTCTGGGCTGGAGGTCTTACCAACAGTGCAACGGGAACATGCTCTGCTTCGCTCCAGACCTCGTCATCAATGAGTATGCACCAGTCCATTTTTAGTCCATGTATAAGTCTAGCAACCTTTTGTTATTATATAATAATATATATTATATAAGTCTTTTTTTCCACCTCACAAAAATCGACCAATGAAATGATATTTTCCAGCTTATGATTTATTTTTTTCTGTCAGTCAGCCAACACGTACAAATGTTTGTTTATGTATGTGATGTGCAGCTCTGCTCTGTGCTGTGTGTGTCGTATCTCCGGAGAATCAAACAGCGTCTGTCAGCTGTCATCAGTGATCAGTGTTTCATCCCTCTTATAGACTCGATGACTCCGTTTGTAAACAGCGCTCTGAGTGTAGTGAGCAGTCGGCACAGCTACCATGCTTAGGGCTGTAATAGGCCTTTTTTTTTTTTCAAAATCACACGCTCAAAGTTAATCGGATCATAATTAATATCTGGTGTTTTGCTCTCTATTTGTCAGTCAGCCTCCAAACTAAATTCAACTACAGCCTGTTTTTTTGTTTTATAATGGCAGCCATCTTTCTCAGTTTGATAAAAGCTGTCGTCAGTTCACTTCCTGTCTTCCTGACTCAGGAAAGAAAAGTTTTTTTCACAAGTTTGCCCCCACTTCCACCCACAATATTACTTCATCACTGAGATGACACTCACTCATCTTCTCAACCTTCTACTCCAACAAACTAATAGACTGAATCTCATTTCTGGAAGAATGATTTAAAATAGGATCCACAAATTGTTAGCAGCAAGACCTTGAACATTTAATCTGCAGAGATATTACAGGGAGCTGCTTCAGCTCCCTGATTGAGACTGCACGAGCGGCCCTATAAATCAACTATGACTTAATGTGAAACAAGGATGTGCTGCCGTTCTGTCTACGTCTCTGAGTAAACCATTTCTGTTTGATTCCTCCAGGGAGCGGATGAAGTTGCCCTACATGGCAGACCAGTGCGAGCAGATGCTGAAGATTTCCAGCGAGTTTGTCCGGCTGCAGGTCTCCCACGACGAGTATTTGTGCATGAAGGTCCTGCTGCTGCTGAGCACAGGTCAGACCTTTCACCGTCAGCCAACTGAACCACCCAACACCTCTCACATGTAGAGCTGCAGAGTGGCGTGCTGTGTTAATGCAATCATTACGAAATCCATCACTCCGATCCAATACCGTCCACAATGCTGAAAGATAATGTTGATGTATGCACAAGCCCAAACATCACATCGCAGCACTTTCCCAACTCATTAACTGACATGCAATGCAATTATCGTAAATTAGAATTGAATCCTCGTATGCCCACCTGGTTCGATACAGAGTAATACACACACCCAATTTCAGCAGCTAGAGCACTTACTGAGTAACTGCAGAAGTATGTAGACATGATCTATTGCAGAATTAAAGGTGTAAACAGTAATTATAAAACCATAATTGCAGGTAACTGTAACATAGCTGAGCTATCCTCCTCAGGCTCTGCTGGTTTTGTTCTTGCAGGTGTGTGTCCTGTAAGTGCTTTGCGGTGCTAAATATTACTGGGAGTGCACCATGAAAATGAACTTCTGTATGTTAATCAGTTGCTGTTTTTAGCTCTTCACAGCACGGACGCGCTCATTTAAAATGTGAAGAGCGTCCCTCCTCTTTTGCAATTTAAAGCTGGATGTTTTACGTGTGAAGTATTGTCACTAACAACACCGGTACAGTACATCATCCTTATCTCTGTCCCAGATGTTGACCTTCAGTTTCCCCTCTCCCGCAGTGCCCAAGGACGGCCTGAAGAGCCAGGCGGTGTTCGACGATATTCGGATGTCGTACATTAAGGAGCTGGGGAAAGCCATCGTGAAGCGCGAGGAGAACTCCAGCCAGAACTGGCAGCGTTTCTATCAGCTCACCAAGCTGCTCGACTCCATGCATGAGGTACCAGAGATCCAGCAAACAAAGACTGAACGCATCCTCCGACATCAGCATTACACGTTATTGACCACCAGCAGTCTGCAACACTGATTTACAGCCTGTGATTGCTCTCATTCATTTGTTTAAAGCATTTACCTGGTTCAAGGAAATGTTCCAATAATGCAAAGTTACCTTGATTTGCAGCGTTTGATAAGGGATCATAACCACTCAGCCTTGTGCTTATTTTGTGAAATTCGTTTATACAGAATGTCTGTCTTTACTTCTTCTTTCTTACTTCTAATAACACAAATGATCCCAAACTTACTTTTACAGTAAAATAGTTTGTATTGCATCATCAGTACTACTTCTCAAATATTATCGTACACATAAATCCTTATATTAAAGGTTCTATGATGGTTCTAGTTGGAAAGTATGTACCGTCCCCCTTCACCTATACGTTCTCCTCTGTTTGTCTGCAGATGGTTGGCGGACTGCTCAGCTTCTGCTTCTACACCTTTGTGAATAAATCCCTGAGTGTGGAGTTCCCAGAGATGCTGAGCAGAGATCATCAGCAACCAGTTACCAAAATTCAAGGCTGGGAGTGTCAAACCTCTCCTCTTCCACCAGAGATGACTGTGCCCCGTAACAGACACAATGCCTTAAAAATCCCACCACATCACCTCACCTTCCCCCACCCCCCCACCCCCACAACCCTCCCCGAAGAGCGACGATGAAATTTCTGAGGATCCGCCGCGAGGACTGAATGAT